AGGTCTCATACCACTGAATAGCAAAAAACCAAATACTTCAATTTTTAAAAAATGGGCAGAGGAACAATAGACATGCTCACAAAGAAGAAGTACAAATGGCCAACAGACACATGCAAAGGTCCACAACATCACTAACAGTTAGGGAAATGCAAATCAAAACCACAGTGAGCTATCAACACACACCTGTTAAGAAGGCTATCATCAAAAAGACAAGAGACAACAAGTGTTGGCAAGGATGTGGAAGAAAGCGAGCCCTTGTGCACAGCTGATGGGAACATAAATTGGTACAGCCACTCTGGAAAACATTACGAAGGTTCCTCCAAAAATTAAAAGTAGGACTGCCATATGATCCAGCAATTCCACTTTCGGGTATGCATCCAAAAGAAATGAAAACAGGATCTCAAAGAGATATCTACACTCCCATGCCTTATTCACAATAGCCAAGATACAGAAACAACCTAAAGTGTCTGTCAAAACATAAATGGATAAAGAAGATGCAGGATACATATACAATGGACTATTATTCAGCCATGAGAAAGAAAGACATTCTACATTCACAACAATGTGGATGGGACTTGGGGCATTGTGCTAAGTGAAACAAGTCACACAGAGAAGGACAGATACTGTATATCACATATGTGGAATCTAATAAAGCCAAACTCACAGAAACAGAGATTAGAATGGTGGTTACTAGGGACTAGTGGGTGGGGAATAGGGGAGCTGTTAGTCAGAGTATAAACTTCTAGTTAGAAGGTAAGTTCTGGGGATCTAATGTAACTATAATTATTATAGTTAATAATACTGGATTATATACTTAAAAGTTGCTAAGAGAACAGATCTTAAATGTTCTCACCACAAAAAAGAAATAGTAATTATGTGATGCAGGTGTTAGCTAATGCTCTAACATTGCAAGATACAAGTATATCAAAACATTGCAGACCTCAAACTTATAACATGTTTTATCTAAATTATATGTTGTAAAGCTGGAGAAAATTAAAAAAATTATCTCTTTCACTAAACATTTTTTGGAGTGAAGGGATTATGCTGTTTTCACTTTCCTATTACCAGCGCCCATTAGTATCCAGTGCACACGGCAGGTGGAATGAGTAACACAGTAATCATAAATCTGTCTGTTTCCTTAACAACAATCTGCTGATAGGGCCAAGAATTTTAATATCTCAATGTCTAAAGTCTAATTTGAAGACTTCCTCTTCTAGCAAAATGCAAAACAAAAAAAATTTTGGCCAAACCATATGGTTTTGTGGTGCTAGAATCATGACCATGAAAGCAACAGAAGCCACCAAAAGTTTCTAAGCAAGGGAATAGTATCATCACATCTGTGTGTTGGTTACCTACCCATGGGAGCCTGAGGGATGCCCTAGGATTGAAGCTGGGAGATCAACTAAGCAGTTACAGGGACAGTCCACAGGAGAGGCAGTGAGGACCCAACACGGGGGAAAACAGCAAGCACAGAGGAAAGGGCACCAGCATGGGAGCGAGTTAAGTGGAAGACTTGGTAATTCATCATACAAGAGCATTAAAGGAGACAAAGCAATCAAGGATAGAGCCAAGGTTTATATTTGAGCGATGAAATAAATTGGGACACCAGGGGAAATGGGGAACAAAACACAGGCATTAGAAGCCCAGCAATGCAGAGGTGCACACACATTGACCCTGCATTGGGCACAATGTGCAGGTGGATTAAGGGATATGCACTACACAGCTGGAGCTTAGGTAAAGGTCTAATGTTGCAGACAAAGATTTGGAAACATCCAGCATGTAAATAAAAGCTGAAGCCACAAAGATGGAGAGTTATCATCCAGGGTAAATGTGCAGATCATAAACCCACGACAAGAGTAATACTAATGAACTGTGGGGAGCACTTATATAGTAGAAGAAGGGGGAAAGGAGCTAAGATTAAAAAAAAGAGAGAGAGAGAGCCATAAAAGCTAAGGAAGAACATAATTTCAAGTGAAGATGGTGTAACATCGAGTGTTTAAAGAGCATAAAAAGCAGAATGAACACTAAAACGAGGAGATCGATTCCAGCAAACAGGGCTGATGACCTCATGAAAGTTTTAGAGGAGCAGATGGCATCAGATTGAAAAGTGATGGAGTATTGGCAGCTAAACATATGGATGGTTCAATGGAGTAGAACAAAATTGACTAGAAGGTGAGGAAAGCTGTAAATTCAGAAGAAAAGGGCAAGACAATAGTTCAAAGGAGTCCAAGCTGAGGACCAGGAATTTTAGGAGAGAAGTGACTGAATTATTGGAAGATGGATGGAAAAAAATCCCTTGAGGTGGGAGGGACTCTCGGAGAGGTTAGAAAAGTGAGTAAAACACACAACACAGGTCCTAGAAAAGGCAGGAAGAGAATTAAAGAATAGAAGTCAAAGTTTTAGCCTCGGAGTTAAGGAAAGGAATCTCTTCCTGGGAACAGAGGAAAGGCAGTGAGAGTGTACAGAGTGGGTGATGCTGAGCAGTGTGCATCTGATGGCCTTCATCTTCTCAGGAAAGGAAGTATCTAACAAGTGGGAAGTGGGTGACAGTACGTGTGATCAAAGATTTCATAAGCTCCTGCCCTCCTGCTGGGGATGTTAAAAGAAGGGGATGAGAGATCAGGTAAAGAATTACAAAACTACACCAAGGGCCCACCTGAGGATGGAATTCTTCCTCGTGTAGTAAGCAGATGGAAGACTATGCAAATCCTCCCAAGAATGGGCAGGAGAAAAGACAACAGCTTAGGTCCCGTGTTTTAAACTGGCAGAATGGATTGCAGAGGAACAGAAGAAAGAAAGGCATCATGTGAGGTACTGGTGAGGGACTAGCTGCAGTAACTACCCCAGAAGCGAAGGGAATGTAAGGGAAGTGAAGGCGGGAGATGATGGAGGACTCAGGGGAGACAGGAGGGAAGGTTCAGAGCAGGTTCTGTGAGAAAGGGAGAGAGAGAAGATGATGATCAGAGCATCACATTTCAGACAGTCCCTTTCGGATCAATTTCCAATTCTAACCAATCCTCTCCAGAACAAACTGAAGACCAGAAACCTCTAAACCAAGTTTTGAAAATGAAAAACAACTTCATTGAGATATAATCCACATAGACTACATTTCTTAACCATTCAATCATTTGTGGCTATTTCTATTACAATGAAAAATTCACAGTGGAAAACATGTTCACGCTTTTTGTTGTTCACATTTTAATTGTTTTTCTTTGAAAGGATTCCTACAAGGGAAATTATTGAATTAAAGAAATATATAAACATAATGCTCTTGAGTTATATTATCAAGAGGAAGACATTATTTTAGACTTCTTTAGAAGCCATCTAGACTTCTTCCTCTATAAACTTTTAAACATAAATAAGGTAATAGTACACATGTTATTTTGTAACATTTCTTTTTCTAACTTAAAATTTTAAAACATCTTTGCATGTCAGTGCATTTTTATCTACCATATCTTTTAAAGTGACTGCATAGCAATCCATCTTATGACATGATCACTTATTTAACCAACCTTTCTATTAAATATTTAGTATATTTCTTTTCTGTTATATAGATACTACTGAGCTAAATGTTTTTGTAATACGTCTTGGCCTAGTTGCCTGATTATCTCCTTGTGAAAAAATTTACGTGTAGGAAATTCCTGAGTTAAAGGGTATGTACATATTTTAAGGCTTTTGATACACACTTCCACACTGTCCTCTGGGAGAGTTATAACAGGTAATATTCTCACTGTAGTATAAATGAGATAATCCAATCCATGAATATCACTTTTCTTTATGATGCTTGCCAATCTTATACAGGGTGAAACTGGCAACTTATTTTACATTATAAAAACACGAATCAATATTTTTCATGTATGTATAGGCTATTTACATATATGCTTCTGTGTGGAATTTCTCTTTATATCCTTTGTCCATTTTTTTTAAAATAAGAGGTTCATGCTTTTGTGTATACTGGTAAGATCTAGCTATATATTTATAGAAATCATTTAGAGAAATCATTTTGGGTGAACAGATATCAAAACTATTTTCCCCTGAGTTTGTGTTTTCATTTTGTGTTTTACTAATAATGCTCTTGAATGTATTCAAATCTATCAATCTTCTCCTCTGGCAGGAGAAACAACTTCTTTTTTTAAGTGGAGTTCAGTCGCTTTACAATGTTGTCAGTTTCTGCTGTACACAGCAAAGTGACTCAGTTTCACAGATGCACATGTTTCCTCTACGTCAACACAGAGTATTGGATAGAGTTTCCTGTGCTATACAGTAGGCTCTCCTTAGATATCTTTTTTAAAATTATTTTTTTAATTGAAGGATAATTGCTTTACACAATTTTGCTGTTTTCTGCCAAACCTCAACATGAATCAGCCATGCGTATACATATATCCCCTCCCTTTTGAAACTCCCTCCCATCTCCCTCCCCATTCCACCCCTCTAGGTTGATACAGATATCTATTTTACACATAGATACTGTATTATGTCAATCTCAATCTCCCGGTTCAGCCCACTCCACTCTTTCCCCCTTGGAATCCATCTGTTTCTCCTCTATGTCTGACAGGATTTCTTAAGAAGAAAAAACTGTTCTTCATGTCCCAAAGCTGTTTTCTCTGCTGTCCCTACCTACTTACCCAAATTGAAAGCACGGTATGAATCCCAACAATTATTTCTGAAAGAAGGATTATTAACTTAGACCATATGAACATATAAGAAATTATATAAAATGCCTTTTGTTTTATTATTGCACCAGTTACCTCCTTAAGAAGGCCTCTAATAAGAACGTAAGAGAACTTTATTTTCAAATGAATTTCACTAAAGAATGAAGATGAAAAATACAACATATACGTATCCTTGCAAATCTGGGATATGTTGATAAATACATGAAAAAGTTTTGGAAAATCTTCAGATTTCCAGAGAACCAGGGCTTGCCAGGTTATCACAGATGAGTGGCATGCATAAAGGAGTGTGGACTCGCAAACAAACTCAGTAAGGAGGACAATACTTACTATTCCAGAACTAAGATCATTTCCGATGGTGTCTCGTAGACTTCATGTAAATTAATGACCCATGGATTGTCCTGGGCTAGCTCGAGTACAGCGATTTCATGAACTATTTCCATCCGACAATCTTGGCCTTTTCTTCTTTTTCTCATGAACTTGGCGGCAAATTCTTTTCCAGAATCTTTCTTTATGCATTTCCTCACCACTGCAAATTTCCCTCTAGAATTAAGCAAAACACAGTCACTGTTAAAGTTGACTTTTCAGAGGTGATAAATTTTAATGAAATTTCCAAACAGTCATCAGTGGGTATTTAAATTTAGGTCATATGCTAACACTCAAGTAGCAATATAACTTGGGAAACACCTCTCTATAAATAAAATGCAATGGGCAAATCTGCAAGATTCATTCTTCTAAATAGAGCATAACCAAATATTTAAGCCAATATTTCTTTGCAGCATTATATATATATATAAATAACTTAATTTTTACACATTTATACATAAAATAATTTGAATCTTAAAAAAGCCATCTGACTTTTTAAGAGAAACTGGTTATCAAAATTCCTAAAACAATGGATTTCACTGTCACTAATTGACTCTAAAAAGACCCGATCACCTTCCAAAGTTATTTAAAGGTAGGGATCTCATTTGTATGACAACATTTCAACTACAGCATCAGCTGGAAATGTCTAGCTTTTCTATAAAGACAGATATAACAAGCCTTCTTTGACACACTCTACTGCCATGTTATTACACTAATAAGTCACACAGGGGATCAGCACAGCATGTTGATTATGGAACAAGGTCTGGAATTAGATTTGGGCATGAATCCCAAAGAATGGCTCCATCCACTCACTCACTTGATGCATAACCTTGGGCAATTTAAGCTCTAACTTAAGAAAAAAATCTCATTTTCTTAATCTATAGAGGAGAACACAAACAATCTATTTCACAGGGTTGTTGTGAGAATTAAAGAATACACGTCAGCTGCTTAGCATGGTACTTGCCACATACTCAATAAAGTACTATGAAGCAAACAAATCATTGAGCTGTAATAATTATCACCCATAAACACCCAGTACTCAAGCTGGAAGGCAACTTAGAAATCAAATAATTTTTTTTTTTAATCTACTGCCAAATGCCAAAGCCAATGTCTTTCTTTCAAACTGTGAGGTAGTTTTTTCCTCTTGTGGGCACACATTATTTTAGTAAGATTTTCATTACAAGCCTAAACCTGGCTTCAAGAGAAGAGCTGTTGTCCATATCTTTTGCTGAGCGATACAGAAGCATCAACCTGACAGTCTATCAGGTATTATTGGACACAGCTGACGTGATCTGTTAATTGCTACTCCCCCTTTCCAATTTTCAATCATTCCTCATCCCCTCAGGGTCTTTGCTGGTAAAATGCGTCAACCAAATCTGAAGCACCTGCTCCAAGTCTAAGCTCAAAGTGCTTCATGATTATTATTTTGCTGAGGCTGGCCCAATACAAATTAATATGACTTTTGAAAAAAACTTGACAAGTTTTTCGTATTTCACAAATAAAACCTTCTCCTCTTGGATTCTTTCAAGCCAGTGTCTTGATACTATGTTTTAGAAATGTACTTAAAGCCTTGCATTGAAATTTTTTAATTTGCTGTTAAATTCTACTTTCTAGGTCTGGGCCCAGCATTCTAGACTACCAATGTAATTTTGAGGACTGATCCTTCCTTCTTTGCTGCTGTTAACCACAAATATGGTGTTCATCCCCTCTGAATTTTTGTTACCATCAGTAATAAAAATGTTACATGAAAAATTCTTAGGCACAGCCCTACAGCTGATCAATCAGGTGGCACTCTACCTAACAGCACCCTAATTCAGAACAAGGCTCTCTGTGCCCACCGGGAATGTGAGATGAAACAGTTCTTCAGGTCACTAGAGAGAGTCCACAATAAACTATGCATCACAGGCTGATGCCTCTTTTTATTTAGCCCCACAAAATCATTAGGCTAATAACATCTCCATTGAGTTTTAAAAGGTTCCTAATGATCTTTGGATTTCTTTAAGGAAGAGAAAAAAAATCATTAATCATTTGTTTCTTTTTATACCTATATTTCTGAAGTTTCAAAAGAGGAAAAAGAGAAAGTCTAATTTGTAAAAAACTGACCAACATGTAATTGACAACAAGCATATTGCTATTAAATTAGAAATGCACGGGTTGAACTGTCCTCAAAGATTTCCCACAGCAAACACATAGGTATTTACTATTACCACACCTGACACTCTAGGCAATATCGTCCTGTGTAAAATTATAGTAAAATATTGTGGCTTACATACCTGTCCTGAATGTAATGCTATATTTCCGAAGACCAGAGACGCAACAGATGAATGGATCCCTAACCTATAAACTCTGGGAACCCTTGTTATAAAAGAGCCGTTGCTTAATTCAGAGGGCAGAAGTAACCAAAGGAGAGACCTATACTTACCCTGAGTCTCCCGCTAGGCATCCATTTCTTTGGGTCACCACAGTCGTTCGCACACCAATCACTAATCTTGACACCACCCTTGTTTTTGAGGAAGCATTCAGCTGTAGGTTTACCCTTTCTCTCCCCCATATCATGCACTATCCTGGGAGTCAGCCAACCTTTCTGTAAAGGGCCAGATAGCAAATACTTTCGGTTCTGCTGGCCAGCTGATTTGATCACTACCATTCAAGTCTGCTGCTGTGAGTGAAAGCAGCTGCAGACAACAGGTCAGTTTACAGGGGGGGGCAGGGTTTAAAACAAAAAACAAAACACAACTTCACCAGCACTGAAATGTCAATGTCACATAGTTTCCATGTCATTAAATATGACTCTTCTTTTGACTTTTCAATCATTAAAAAATGTAGAGATCATTCTATATAGCTAGTGAGCCTCATCGAAACAGGCAGCCAGCAGTGGGTGACCAGCTTGCGCCCTATTCCAGGCTGAAGAGAACTCTTCCACGCTTCTGATACTGCGCACCACGGAAGCAGACAGCAGGACAGCAGATCACAGGAAACAGGCACCGCCTTCATCTCGGGATGACTGGCGTGATGGGAGGGGAACCCTTAATACTATTCAGGGGATCAGAGATGAAGCCAGGTTTCCAGGAACTGTTCTTTCTCAAGAGCCACAAGGCAAACAGAAATGTGGGACGCGGTCTTGAAGGCACGGGGGTCGAGTGAACTCACTAAGAATTAGACAGTCACGGTTTCCCTCAGTCCCACACCCTGCAGTGCTCTGGTATGCCTGCTTTACCACAACTTCATGGTAAAACTGTGCTTGTGTCTCAACCCTTTAAGTTATTGAGGCCTCTCCAAAGCACGAAATAAATGATGTTTCTCTGACTCTAGGGGCCATAGTTACACGCAGGGACTTGAGACTGATGAGGTTCAAAGGACATAAGACGTCTGTTTCACGTTTACTTCCTTAGCTGACTTAGCCAAAATTCTTCCTAGATTATCAGGATGTTTCAGTTTCCGGAGGCCTTCACCCATTTCACAAACATCTCTAGTTCACTATTACACACTAAACTGAAAACTCTGATTTTCATTAATCATTTGGCAGGGGGTGGGAGGGATATTAGGAATGAGTACATTTCAGAATAACAATGATAACACACTCCAGGATAGTAAGACAGGAAGGATAAACAAAGATCACAACAGGAAGAGACATTTGAGTCAGACCCACCAGTCTAAGCTTCCTCAGAACAAGGGCTGGGTTTTTACTGATCTCTGTATTACCAGTGTGCAACTGGAAAAGCTTAGGAAGGCTCAGTGAACATCAGTAGGTATGACAGGCTAAGTAGCTGGTGCTTTATTTCTCAAGGGAAGAACGGGCACCTATGAGACTTTTACCTTAGTAAAAGTTTAAAAAATCTAAGATAAATGTTTTAAAAAGCTAATTCTGAGTGTATTGCCAAGTGTATTCCCTAGAAACTAGGGAAGCTAAGAAAACAGCTCAAGGGAAGGGGTCTATGAACTAAAGTAGCAGTAGCAGCAAAGGCTGGGAAGAGAGGAAGTAATTTACAAGGCACTCAAGGTCAAGACAGACTGAGCTTTGGGCAGAGAGATGAGGGTGGGAGAGGACTGGAGATCTTTGTCCTGGGTCATGTGGTACCATCCACTGAGAAGAGAAATCAGAAGAATGGTAACAGATCTGCAGATGGTGGAGGGAGGGGAGTATGTGTTAGGCTTCAGAAGGGAGATGTTTGATGTGCCTTTCTCTGTAAAGAGAATTTTATTTACTAATAGATGGATTCCAAATATAACCAGTGTTGGGTTACCACACAAAGGTGAACACACATTAGAATACAGAAGGCTCAGGCAAAGATAAAAAAAACTGGAGGTGCTGATTTGAGTGTATATAGAGGAAGCAAAATAAAAGTGAGTTCCAAGGTTCCAGGTTTGATTCTAGATTACAGTAAAGGGCTTTGTTTCCACGTGTATCCTATGATTTAAGTTCTTCTGACACGTTACAATTTTTTGGCTACGACTATCTCCCTGGCCCCACTATGAGTTTCAGGGACCTGGCCTCTTCATCTTTGCATCTCCTTGTGTAGTGCCTGGCACATGGCAGGTGCTCAGATACCACCCTAGATACACACACTGTTTTTGTTAGTTTGCTAAACAGAAGTTCTGTGGCCACTCAGCCTCATAAGGTTTAATACTTTAGCCACATAGGGCTACTTGCTGTTCTCTTTTTCACTGAATTTTTCTGCGCTGTGCTTGTTTCATTGCCAATGGCTGGAACGTCTTGCATTGCTACTGCTACTCAAATTCCATCCATTCTTTCAGGCTCAGCTCAAATGTTGTTTTCCCCACAAGATTTTCCCATGTGGCATGTCACTTTGCCCATAAAAGGAGTAGTGACTGATTTGTTAGATTTGGGAACAATTTCCAGAGCCTACCAAAGAGCCTTATGTGCGCAACATGCCAAGTCCAATATTTGCTTAATAGCACTGGGGTACAGCCTTAGGCGCAAAGAAGTTCTGTTCAAGAACGACCTAGATCAGATCTGTCTTCCTTACCTCTGAAAGAACAAAAACCAAACCATCTGCTGACCCTAAGTGTAAAAATCAGCGAGTCCATCAGATCAGTCATCATGAGTGACAAGAACAGGGAGAACCAAAAGCCAGACTTGGTTTGAAGTTCGGGCAATTTGTTCAACTTTTCTGAATCTTAAGATTTCTCACCTACAAAATGAGGTTGATGGCACT